CGGGTAGATCCCCTGGAAGAGGGCATGGTAACCCACTCCAGTATTCTTGCCTGGAGACTCCCATGGACAGAGGAGCCTGGCAGACTACAGTCCATGGGGTCGCGAAGTCAGATACAACTGAGCGACTAATTCTTTCACTTTCACCTCCCCATTCATTGTTCTTTGGACCCCAGCACCTGCCACTCCTGCTACTCCGGGCTGGTGGACCTCGAAGGCTCCCAGGAAGCAAAGGGCAGCCAGAGCCCCTGGTAGATGAAGCTTGGGCCTGCCTTCCCTCCCGCCACTGGATGCTCTGGCAGGTAGAGACCCGACCTCTTGCTGCAGGCTGGAGTGGGCGGTGGGGTGGGAGGAAGTGTGCCAGTAGTTCATGGCGGGGAGGCTCCTGGGGTGTCTGTGGCCGGCGGCCAGCTCACTTGTCTGCTGTGATCCTCGCCCCCCAGCGCTGGCTTCCCAATGCCTTTGCTGGGTTCAGAGCAGAAGCCCGGCAGCTGAGACGCCAGCCCTGGGCAAGAGCCGGCCTGAGAGCCTGGGTGGGCTCTTCCAGCAAGACTTTGACATGGCTGAGTCCAGCTGCAGGGGCTGTCCAATGAGGAGTGGTCCCGGGGAAGGTGGGGAGGGTCAGAGCACTGTCCCCAGGGGAAACCGGCTCCAGAGTACCACTCAACCGCTGAGCCGCCTAGTCTAAATTCCAAGCGTCGTCTGCCCTCACTGTATGAGAAGGAAGCCATCTGCAGCCTGTCGGACATGTAGGATTGGAGGAAAATGGACAAGGAGGCCAGGAACGTGGGTCCCGGGGTCAGGGTGCCCTGGATTGGGGTCTAGACTACTACTTCCTAGCTGGGAAGCCTTGAGTAAGCTGCTTACCCTCTCTGGGCCGTGTTTACTCAGCTGTGAAACAAGGATCAGGGTCGTTGGGAGGTTTCAATCACCCGCCCAACAGGAGAAGACGCTAGCACCAAAGCCACACTCAGAAAAGCCACCGGAACATGTATGTAATAGCATGCTGCATTGTTAAAGTAAAACAGACCCATGTGCTCAACACCGGATTCCGAGTCTAAACATTCCGGGGGGACCCAGCATGGGTGGAGGGCCCAGAGATTGGAGGGTGCAGGGGGTCAAGGGCCTCCGATGACTGGGGTCTGTATTTCAGGTGATCCTTCAGGTCAGTGGGGCCAATGAGAGGTGGAGTAGGAGGGGAGGGTCCCAGGGCTCTTCTCCACTATGTGGTCCAGAGCCTCTGTCCAGGGGCTGGGTCCTTCTTGGCTGACTGTCACTGCAGTGATCACGTTACCTTTCTCTTTCTTCCACGTAAGAGGGTGCAAGCATTCCCTTTGTGCCTCACTAGAACCTTGATTCTGAAGGGTCTGGGGATATTTCAAGCACGTTCTCTGTGGCCGGAAGGTCCTGACAGCTGGCCATGCCACCTCTTCTCCACAGCTCCTCCCCCAAACTGGGAGCACAGTCAGAAAGCTCTGGCGGCATCCTGGGAGACAGGAGGTGGCAAGCCTCGGACTTTGCTTGTGTTCTGTCTGCTCACCTGCTGTGTGACTCTGGGCAGGTCGGCCAGCCTCTCTGAGCCTCCACACCTCACTCCTACAGTGAGGTGACAAATATTCATTGCAGACTGCTATGGACTGAATGCCTGTTTTCCCAAAAACTCATTTGTTGAACCCCTAATGCCTCCGTGTGATGGTATTTGGAGGCAGGGATCTTTGTGTGGTGACTAGGTTTCTATGGGACCTGCCTCCCTGGTAGCTCAGATGGTAAAGAATCTGCCTGCAGTGCAGGAGACCTGGGTTCGATCCCTGGGTCAGGAAGATCCCCTGGAGAAGGGAATGGCAACCCACTCCAGTATTCCTGCCTGGAGAAGTCCATGGACAGTCCACGAGGTTGCAAAGAGTCAGACACGACTGAGCAACTAACACTTTCATTTAGGTTTCTACGAGGTTATGAGGATAGAGGCCCCAGGATGAGATTCGTGCCTTTATAAGAAGAGACCATGCAAGCTCTCTCCCGGCCCCTGCCCCCACACCCCATCTCCAGCACCATGTGAGGTACAGAAAGAAGGCAGACACCTGCACGACAGCCTTCACCGGGGACCAAATCAACCAGCACCTGGATCCTGGCCTTCTCAGCCTCCGTCACCAAGAGGATTTGCTCATTTGTTGTGGAAGTCACCCAGTTCAGCAGCCCGAGCTGACTAGGACAAAAATTTGTGCTGAGAGGTCAGGTGCTGCTGTAACACACACTTCAAAACACAGAAGCGGCTTTGGAACTAGGTAATGGGAAGAGTTTCAAGATGCCCGCTAGAAAAAGATGGTATCGGGATGATATTGTGAGCAGACAAAGTGAAAGGTGATTCTGTTAAGACCTCAGGAAGAAAAGAGGAGAGCTGTTGAGAAAATTTCCATCTTCCTGGAAAACACACAGATAATCGTGAACTGAACGCTGGGAGAATTGAGAAGGCAAAGGGGGACGCTGAGGAGGTCTCAGATGGAGATGGGGAGCACATTATTGGACAGTGAAGAAATGGTGATCCTGCAACACGCCAGCAAAGGACTCAGCTGAATTATGCCCGTGTTCTAGCGTTTCACAGAAGGCAGGACTTGCAGGGGATGAAACTGGGTATTGAACTGAGATTTCTAAGCAGAGTGGTTCCTCCCGACTGCTTCCAGTAAAATTCGAGGAGAGAGAAGTGAATTGAAGGAGGAATTATTCAGCAAAAAGAAGCCAGCATTTAAGCATCTAGAAAATTCTCAGTCTATTCCATATCACACAAAATGAGAGAGCGTGTTGGGGAGAGAATCCTGAGAGTGCGGCTGCCCAGCCCTTAATGAAGGTGTGAACCCTGCACCTCATCAACCAGCCCAGTTTGCACTGAAGGGACTGGAGATGGGGGGGAGTAATGGGGAGCTGTGGGCTTCTTAGCGTCTAAAGGACAGGATGATAAAGCTGTTCAGCTGCAGACGTGCACAGTTCTCCGAGAAGAGAGGAGGGAGGACCAGAGAAAGGCATCAACATCCAGTGACAAGATAAATAAGTCCTAGGGACATAATGTACTGCACGCTGCCCATGGCGGGCACTGCTCTACGATACACAGGGGGCTTCCCAGTGGTTTGGCGGTAAAGAACCCGCCTGCCAGTGCAGGAGACGTGGGTGTGATCTCTGGGTTGGGAAGATCCCCTGGAGGAGCAAATGGCAACCCACTCTGGTATTCTTGCCTGGGACACCCTGTGGACAGAGGAGACTGGCGGGCTACAGTCCGTGGGGTCACAAAAGAGTCAGACACAACTTACCGACTAAGCAACAACAAAGATATACAGGGATGTTGTTAAGAGAGTCAGTCCCAAGAGTTCTCATCACAAGGAGAAAACGTTTTTTTCTTTTTATTGTATCTGTATCAGATGACAGATATGAACTAGATCTAGTGCGGTAATCATTTCATAATATATGTCAAGCCATCATGCTGTACACCCTAAATCTATACAGTGATGTATGTCCATTATTTCTCAATAAAACCAGACATGGGAGAGAAGAAAAGAGGATAATGGTGCCTAAGTTGATTCAGAGACCCTTAAGGCCACTACCTAGGTTTTGAAGTGCCAGGGGGCTGCCCACCAAAGCCGTGGGCGCAGGGCTTCCAGGAACTTATGGGGGTACCACCCCCTCCCGGCAGAGCCATTGTTTCAGCCACCCAGTCTACGGTGATTGTTATAGCAGCCGAAGCAGACTAAAACACAGGAGCCACTCACTCAGGGTCCAAGAAAAAGGATTTCAGAATCAGCCAAAGTGGGGGCAGATGATGACCCATATGTCAGTCAAAGATGCAAGTTCAGAAGCCAGACTGCCTGGATTTAATTCCCTTCTCCATCACTCACTGACTGCTGTGTGACTCCAGGTAAATGATCAGCCCCTCTGTGCCTCAGTTACCATATTAGAAAAATGTAAATAATAGTGGCACCCATCCCCCTAGCACGGCAAAACAGTCTTATAAAGGACCAGCCATACGCCTGTCACCACCATCACCATCCCAGCCTCAGAGTTTCTCGGTTCATCATGATTCTGTCACTGGGCCCCCTGGCAGTGAAGTGTCATAAACTTAGGGATAGTCACAAGCTCTATGTTCTGGGATCCCAGATCCTGACACCTCAGGACCTGTCAACCAGAGAAGTTAAGAGATTCAACTGGCAAAGGAACAACTTATTCCTTTCATAAACAGCAAAAACAAGAGTAGTCTTGTCAGCTCCCCGTGACCGTTGCAGGGAAACACCAAGAAAAGGGGCAATGCCTGCAACACACAGGGTGGACCCCTGCCACCAAAGAGACTTTGGACAGCTTGCCGCAGTACCCTCGGGGGCAGAGCCAAAGGCTTTATACCCCATTGCGCATGCGTGCTCTGTCAAGTCCGACTCTGCGACCCCATGGTCTGTACGTAGCCTGTCGGGATCCCCTGTCCATGGGGTTTTCCAGCCAAGAATACTGGAGTGGGCTGCCATTCCTTTCTCCAAGGGATCTTTCTGGGAAAGCTGCCTCAAAAGTACAAACGAGGCACAAAGAATCATCAAGCGAAGGACGAGTAAAACCGAGTCCCCACCACTAGTGGGGCGCTGGCCAGAGACAATCCAATCTTTGTACATCCAGTGGAAACGCAAAGTGACCTGGCACGGCCGGCCCGCAGGGCTGCCCCCGGGGCCCGTGTGAGGTGGGTCTGATGCAGGAGAGATAGACCCGTTTGGATGAGGGGCACGCAGCACCCTCTGGAGAGTCAGGGTCGGGGAGCAGACCCTTAACACCCTGACCGCCAATGCCACCCTGGCCTCCAGGCCACTGTCCCGGATGTGTCAGCAGGTCTCTGCCCTTCCCTCCTGGCACTGAAGGTCTCAGGCCTGGGTGTCTTCCTGCAGCTCCTCCTCTGAATCGGACTCATCATGGCAGACATGAATGGTGACTTGCATGGGGAACGGGGGACAAAACCGTCTCCGTGCTGGCCTCCCTGATAGGTGGGGAGGGGGATGGGAAACAGCCTCGCAGCAGCTTCCTCACAAGCCCCCCAGGCCTCCTGTTCCAGGAGGAACACTGGGCGTCCCGCCGGAGCTTAGCTCAGCTGTGGTCGGGCTTTGCATGCGTGGCCTCTGTGGAGGTGAACAGGGTTGCCAGGCGGCCAGAGTGCATCCGTTCCCCTAAAACTGGACGGAGGTCACCCTTCAGGAGGAGATGACCCAGAGAGGCCTTGAAGGACAAAAGAGGCCAAGCCTTAGGAGCAGCGTCACGTCACGGGGGCTGGGGCCAAGGCATAGACAAGGAGAGGCTTCCTGGGAAGCGCAGGTGGTCTAATCTGGCTGCTTCGGCTGATGTGGAGGTTCAGGGGGTGTGAGCACAGGGACATCGGGAAAGGAGGCACGGGGATCGGGCTGCAGGGTTTCCCGGTCCCGTCGGGGAGACTGTCCCGGCCACGCAGGCACCGAGCGCCCAGGAAACCCCGAGCTCGGGCAGAGAGCGGCACAGGGCGCAGGGCAGCGGGCCCGGGAGAAAATCAACTGCCTTGTTTTCCATAATTCAGAAGAGTTTGGGGTCTCCATTTGGGGTCTTCCTTTTCCCAGGAGGGGTGGCGTGAGTTGCAGCTGCCCCCGCCCCACCAATGTCGTCTGATGTACCTGACACACGGGGGCTCAGGGAAAGAGGCACAGGCACAGCCTCTGTGAGAGCTGGCTTGGGCCAGACCAGGGAAGCCTGGGGGGCTGCTCACAGGCCCCACGAGCAAGGGCCAGGGTCCAGGCTCCAGACCCTCGGTCAGCCTTCCTGCTGTCCAAAGTTGCTGTCCAGGTCAACCCCACCGGTTACACTGACCCCAAGACTCATCAACTAAGGATTCCTCTCATTTAAGTGACTCCTGAAAGAAACTGCCCCCGTCTCTGGCTCTCCTGGAAGGTCTCTACTGCGTTCTTGAAAAGGCCTTTGGCCAAAAAGCAACACAAACCGACCTGAAATCGAACATTTCCCCCGACCTGGGCGGCGGCCTTGCAGCCTTATGGCGCTCCTGCCAACCCGCTGTCAATACAGACGCAGGGCAGCAGCTCCAAGGACCCCCCAGCAGCACGTAATCAATCGCCGGCTTCCTCCTCGCCAGCCCTAGAAGGCAGGCGATCATTTATTCTGTCAGCTGCACATCAGTCTTTCTGGCTTGGTTTTTCTCGATCAGCGTGAAGGCAAAAGTTTAAAATGCATGAGAAGGCTTCAAACAGCACTCCCCACCCCTCCAATGCGATGCAGGCTGGCGGCAGGTGGGGCAGGGAAGGGCGGGGGGCCAGGCCGTGAGTCAGGGAGACCTCAGAGGAAAGACAGTGTTAGGATGGGCTCTGAGCCTTAGTCTGGGTTCTTTAAAGTCGTTTGTTCATTGACTCCTGCCTGCCCGCTCCTAACATCCTTCGTTTCAGCCTCACTCCTCCCCCGGCGAGTGAGTCCTCATTGTCCCCAACAAGGCCCGGGGAACTTAAAGTGAGGACAACAGCTCCTCCTTCACCTGGCTGTCACAAGGGTCCTGGCACAGCTCTCTGAGGTGTGGGGACAGAGCCTGGAGCCCAGGAGGAGAGGCGGCTGGAGCACGTCCTGGGAGCACCAGGGGAGGAGTTGCATTCAGCTGCCACCATGGAGCAAAGCCAATAGGAAGCCACACCGGGGCTCACGGAGGGCTGGGTGCTCTGCGCATCCAGCGGCGTCTGCGGGCTAGGGGTGGAGACCGGCGGGGCAGCAGGTGGATGTCCGAGGCCCCAGGCTTCTCGGGGGGATGTCAGGGTGTGATCCCTCTCCCTGAGGTCACCTCCTCGCGTCCTCGGTCTCAGCCGAACGGGCAGGTCAGGTTGGGAGTGGGCCAGCTTCCTGCTCTCCTCCCTTCGGCCTTGGGGTTCTGGCTTCCTTCCCCTGCACCTTGGACCCTCTCTGCACTATACGTCCTCTGGGCACGGTCTGGGCCAGACTCCCTCTCTGCTTCTCTCCATCATGCCTGAGAGATGGAATCTGATTGGTCCTGCCTATCTCTGCAAGCCCCGCCCTGCCATGCAGATTGGCTGCGCTCCAGGCACGTCTCTGTCCTAGGCCAATCAGCTGGGGTCATGGGTGGGGCTTAGTTCCTACAGGTGGAAGTAGAGTGTGGAGGGTCCGGGTGGGGCAGGGAATGGGGGGTGTCGCTTGTTGAGTTGCGGGGGAACGGTGGTCCGGGCTGGTGTAGGCCAGCAAAACAAGGCAGTGGTTGAGGAAGTGGGGAGTGCTGCCAGACAGTGTGGCCTGGGAAAAGTCCTCCACCTTTCTGCACCTCCCTTTTCTTCTCTGTAAAATGGGATGACAATGGCTCCATCTCATCAGGTTTGAATTAATGAATGAATGAGGAAGTTCACTCAATTGGGCCTGAGTGTAGTGAAGGCTCTGGAGAGGGAAATGGGCAACCCACTCCAGTATTCTTGCCTGTACAATCCTATGGACAGGGACCCCTGGCGGGGTCTGGGAGGGGTCGGACAGTCCGTGGGGTCGCAAAGAGTCAGACACGACTTCATGACTGAGCACACAGTACACATAGGGAGGGCTCAGAAAATCCTGCTGCTGCTTTGTATCATCACTATTATTATTATTGGGAAGACTGGCCTGGCCCCTGACCCACCATCAGTGGTCTCCCCGGGACCCTCCTAGTTCTGAATCCCTGAGCCATTTTGCTCAGTCTCCTCTGGGCTCTGCCAAATAAAGGATTTGAGAGGAGGTGGGGCCGGGGTGCTGGGTAGGGGGAGGATAGTGAAAAGCTGTGATTATCGCTTGCTCGCTGGCTCAGCAGAAGAGAAAGCGTACGCCCAGCCCACCTAGCAATTACCCACAATGATGATGGTGATGGAGCCAGATGCTGCACTGATGGAGGGGGAGGGGCCGGGATGAGTGAAATCTCCTTCTTTGGAGAGGGTGCTGGAGGAGAGGGTCTTTGGGAAAGATGCCTGGGCCTCTTTTCCCTTGCGCAACCCCTGCATAACCCCAGGGATTTTTGAGTGAAGTTAGAGAGAAGACCAAACACCCACGCAGGCCTCCAGGGCCCCAGCTTAGACGGTCCTTGCCGCCTTCGAGGCTCTAGCCCAACCCCCACATTCCTGTGTTCTAGCCACCCTGGCTTTCTGCCAAGCTCTTTTCTGACTCAGGGTGTTTGCAAGGGCTGTTCCCCTGCTTGGATTGCTGTTCCCTCTACCCTGTGCCTGGCTAACTCTGACTCCTACTGTGGGTTCCTGCTTAATTGTCACCATCCCTTGGACAGCAAGGAGATCAAACCAGTCAATCCTAAAGGAAATCAACCCTGTATATTCATTGGAAAGACTGTTGCTGAAGCTCCAATATTTTGGCCACCTGATGGGAAGAGCCTACTCATTGGAAAAGACCCTGATGCTGGGAAAGATTGAAGGCAGGAGGAGAAGAGGGTGACTGAGGATGAAATGGTTGGATGGCATCACTGATTCAATGGACATTAACTTAGGTAAACTCTGGGAGATAGTGAGGGACAAGGAGTCCTGTTGTGCTGCAGTCCATAGGGTTGCAGAGTCAGACGTGACTTGGCAACCGAACAACTACAAAAGTCACCTTATATAGGCCCCAGTCCAAAGGAGGTCTCGCTGGAGGGTTTCTTAGCACATTGCGGGAGGCCCCTAGAAGCCTGCTGTGCTGTTCCCCAAGCCCCTGTTAGGCCCAAACTTAGGGACACACCCAGGTTGAGATTGCCTTTGGAACATCCTGTCTGGCAGGGAGATGAGCCTGAGCTGATGGAGGCTTTGGGACCCACCATGGTCTTTCCATCGTCACTGCCCGCCCAGCCGCAGCCCCACGATCTGACTTCCAGCAGCCAGCCGCCTGCCAGCCAAAGGGCAAAGTTATACTAACGAGGATCCTTTTTATGCTGCCGAGCTCATGTCTGAGCTAATTAATTTCCAGGTTCCACATGAACGCGAGAACTGAGAATTAGCACTCGCAGAAAGCCATTCCCCTGAATTACAGGGGGGGCTGGAAGCCCAGAGGCACTGACGGTTCCTAGTACGGATGTCCCAGCAGAGGCTGCTTTCTCCTCACCCCCTCCCCTGGCTTGCTTCCCCGCCCCCCACCCCTGCCCCCTGGCTCTGGGCAACAGGGAGGGTACAGCATCAGGCCCCAGACACCTCAGTCTCCATGTGGGGCCCAGATCCCCCAGTTCATGGAGACCTGGGTCAAGCCCTGGAGATGACCTTCTCCTCTACCCCCCTGCTGGTTACACTTCCCCTTGAAGTAGACAGAGGGCTCTCTGGGGGAGGCAGCCAGGTTAGATCCATTCCTAGTCCCAGAAGCATCCGGAATCGTCCTGTTTAATGAGCCTCTCCTGACTCCTGGATGTGTCGGAAACTTCTGCCAACCTTGGATGAAGTCCAGAGACCTGTTTCTCCTCCTCAATGGAGTCCTGTTTCTCCCTGTGAAATGATGTCACTGTCTCCTGGGCCATGAATGACTATGACCATGGTGACCATGGTCACTTACTAATGTTTGACAGTTTTCATTCTCAGAAGAAAAGCTATGACAAATCTAGACATCAAATTAAAAAGCAGAAACATCACTTTGCCAACAAAGGTCCATCTAGTCAAAGCTATGATTTTTCCAGTAGTCATGTATGGATGTGAGAGTTGGACCTGAGCACTGAAGAACTGATTCTTTTAAATTATGGTGCTGGAGAAAACTCTTGAGAGTCCCTTGGACAGCAAGGAGATCAAACCAGTCAACCCTAAAGGAAATCAACCCTGAATATTCATTGGAAGGACTGATGCTGAAGTTGAAGCTCCAATCCTTAGGCCACCTGATGCGACGAGCCAACTTTTTGGAAAAGACCCTGATGCTGGGAAAGAGTAAAAACAGGAGGAGAAAGAGGGGACAGAGGATGAGACGGCTGGATGGCATCACCAATTCAATGGATATGAGTTTGAGCAAACTCCAGGAGACAGTGAAGGATAGGGAAGCTTGGCATGCTGCAGTCCTTGCAGTCACAGAGTCGGACATGACTGAGCACCTGAACAGTAACAGCCACGCTGAGATGTGTTCACAGTCCTTGCTATCCTCTACAAGGACCGCGGGTCCTCGGCTCACTGGGGCTAGGTTATG